TGTACCTCAGGGATTACAGTGCAGCTTCTTACCACTAAGCCACCAGAGCTCTCCAAATTAATTCTTTTTTTATTAATAGTACAACTCCTTACAACCAGACCCCCAGAGCTGCTACTTTTCCATGTTGAAGGAACTATAAATGACAGTGAAAAGGAAATGGAGAGAAAAAGGGGAAGGGCAGCCATTAGGCAGACAGAGTCTGAGCTTATAGAGTAGTCATAATCAGAGTTATATGTGTATTTTATGAATCTAAGTATGTTGTTATGTGCCATCGAATTGACAATGACTCATGGCAACCTTATATGCACAATAGTTCTTAACCCTGTTCTATCCTGAGCCTGTCTCACTGTTTCTGACACACCTACCCCCATTGCCCCAGTCACTCTATCAATCCCTCTTATCCAGGGTCTTCCCCTCCTGTGCTGTCCCTCCACCCTTCCAAACATGATGCCCTTCTCCAAAGACTGGTCTGTCCTGGCTAAATGCCCAAAGACATCGTCTCAAAAATCCTTGCCTCCAAGAAGGAGCATGCTTTCAACCCTCTCCAGAACAGACCTGTTCGTTCTCTTGGCAGTACATAGTATATTCAATACTCTTGTCCCGCACCACAACTCAAAATACATCAATTCCACTTCTGTCATCCTTGGGATGTTATATACTTCCTATTTAATCAAAGAATAAGTTACAAAGCACCGAAAGGAAACAAAAGTCGCCAAATGTTGGGAAAAACAAGTCTGTTCACTAGTAGTTCTAAGGCAACTGTCATGTGGTCTCCTCTCTCAGGGTGACTGGGGCTTAGTGCATTTGCCAGCACTGCAGTAGCCTGTTGGATTCATCTTCACCTTTGTGTTCTATTGTTGTTGTTGTTGTTGTGTGCTGTACTGTTTGAACCGACTCATAGCTGACTCGCAAGCAGGTTTTCAGAAATTTTAAATCACATGGGAGGATATTGTCTGCCCTTCTCCTGCGGAGCGGCTGGTGGATTTGAACCACAGACCTTTGGTATTGCAGTGCAGCTCCTTACCACTAGTATGTTCTGTGGGCTCTGACATTCAGAATGTGACTCTACACAACTCAGACACTTTAATTGCCTTTGGGATTCTAAAAACTGTCACCAGAACTCCATTTCAACAGTTGTTGATCTGCCCAATGTATCAAATGGATCTTTGAATTCTGGGAAAGGAGGAAAAGAAATTAGCAGTCATGACTCATTTTCCATGCAAGAAAAAAACATGTGCTAAAGCAGGGTGTGGACTTTTTCTCTGTTTCCTCTCACTAAAGGTTTTATGACATATGGAGCCTGGAGTCAGTCATACTGAGATGGACAGGGGCCCAGCACAAGGTCCTGGGAACCAGTATGGAAGCACCTGCTGTGACTTTGAACTGAGTTTTTACTGCAGATCCTGGATTTTTGTTTTTTATTGTTGCCCATTTTTGATTGAAATATAGACACAGTCTCAATTTTAAGGCAGTACAACTTGGTTGGTAATTTGATGAAGAGCAGATTATTGTATTACGATGAAATATGAAGCCCAAGGGTCCAGTAGCATTGGATTGTTTAGTTTTCTGCTTCCTTGAAGTAAGCACCGAGTCAAATCTTAGAACTAGAAAAGAAATTAAAATGTCCAACAGAATGGGCGTTAGTGATGTTCTGGCTGTAAGCATGAATGTTTGGACCTAGTTTTTTTTATAGTCTGTGCTGGAAATGAGGCCGAGGAGGAAAAGTCAACTCTAAAATAAAATCGCCCAAGGAAATGCGTGATCATTTTGCCTTAACACTGAAATATGACTATATACTCATGATCACCACTGCACCTTGGACTCAGGAGAAGCCGAACCACCTCTGCTTCCAAAACCGGAACCTAAACTCTGTTTAACACCCTCATTGTTTCTGTTCTTCATAGCGCGTTATTTACTCGAAAGTATTTACCCCACTCAGCAGGGTAGGACTTTAATAAGCCAGAGTCAAGCAGGTATGTGCATTTGTCCCTTGCAGAATGGCTTCACCCCTCTTCATATTGCCTGCAAGAAGAATCGAACTAAAGTAATGGAACTCCTTCTGAAACACGGTGCATCTATCCAAGCCGTAACCGAGGTAAGAGCAGTAGGATTTCCAGATTTTCAGGGCTGCTCAGACTACTTACAGTCTTTGCAAGCAGGGCCCCGGTGCCATCTGCTGTGACCAGTTAGTGTTACTCTGCACCAGTGGCACTGGTGATCCTGAGGAGCAGATAGAAGTGTGGGTAGGTGTGCAGATATCTGTCTCTATGACAAGAAACAACCCAGATCATGCTTCATGTTTGAAGGTGTGTGGTGCCTTTATTGAAGCCAACATTCATATGGAATTCTCCTCAAATGGAGACAGTTTTGTCTACTAAAGAGCATTTGGCAATTTCAGGGTGTATTTTTCAGTTTTTTTCAACTACAGGATACAACTGACATCTAATGATTAGAGGCTAGTGTACCTGATAAACCAGCCTGTAATACACAGGAGCATACACACAAAGGAGTTATCTGCTGAAAAGGTCATATCTGGCATAACATGACCTCTGTGTGTGTGCATGGAAGCAATCGGTCCATGGGCCAATGGAATAAAGTCTAAGTCTTCAACAAAGCAAACCCAGACCCATCTTTCCCTCCACCTTCATCTCTCATGTCCAAAACCACTCCTACCTTTGTTTCACATCACTGACTCCCGTGTTCTGTAGAGTGACTAATCACTGGCACGGCCCCTAGACTAAACACTTTCATTCACATTCTCTTCCTTGCGTTGTCCATGTGCCCTGGTGCCCACCCATACCCACAATGCCTGGTTAATCTAACTACACGTCTGTTAACAGCAGCTCTGGTTCATGCTCCCTGCCTGGATGTGATGTTCTTCCTATGGACAATTACCCCCACATCCTTTGTATTTTCCTATCAAAACATTTATCCAATCATCTTCCTCACAGTTCTGATCCCAGAAGATGCAGACACCTTGAAGGCAGACCTGAATCTTACCAATATTTATACCCATAATTTTTGGCCCCTGCTCTGTCTGTCAGTAAAGATCTCATGCCTGCATGAGTGAAGATTCTATTTGAAGCAAACACAATATTTAAGGTGCAAGTTATTGATTGCTGTTTTACTTCAGTATTTCATCTTTTATGGTTTATAACACTCATCATTTTAGAAATATTAAATGATTGAAAATATTAATACTCCCTTGCTGTTTATCAGATTTGTAGTCAGAATTATACTAGGTACTTTATTATTTTGAGTATACAATTGTAAGTTTATTCCCAGTGCATAGGAACTCTTTTATTAGTTTTGTTGTTGTGATTTTAACAAAAGTTTACAGACAAGTTGGCTTTTCATTCATTTACTATAGCACATTTTCCTTCCTACCACCCCCCAGTTCATGGGTTTCTTAAAAAAAAAAATTCCTTCATTGTTGCATGATTTCATTCCTCTCCATCTCCCCCACACCACCACCACCTCTCCCCCATTTCACTTTGCTATGTTCCTCTTATGCTGATTCTGAAAGAATAGTACACTTCTGACAGAAGTAAATAAACATCCAGAGATTCTGGGCAGTAATAAGGTTCTGTTGCCAACAAAGGCTCCCTAAGAGGTTTCAAAGTCAATGCAGAACCAGATAGCTTTACCTTGCCTGTGTCCCAACGCTGCCCCCTGCTGGTAGAAAAGGGTGCCAAAGTATAACAGACTTTTCCCTTATTTTGCACAATTCTCACCATTTGAAATCTCAACAGTCAGAATAATTTGTCTTTTTACCTCAATTTTATTATGTAAAGTTGCCTTTAAGTAATTTTAAATATCTATTCACAGTAGTTACTTGTTTTTACTCTTTTTTGGAAAAAGCTATTTCTAGCGATTTTATCTGTAGGTGTTACCAAATTATGATGTTATATTGTTAGCTGAATTAAATCCTGAGAAATTAAATTGAATTCTTTCAAATACAAACAAATGTTAAGCCTCTCTACCAAGATTATTGGTTTGACTTTGTGATCAATCTTTTTTGTGTATTCACTCCCTTTAAATCTTACAGTCATGGTCATACTTGACATAAAATACCCTGGAATAAATTCCCTTTGCTTTATGCTAAATGATATTGTTTAGAGGGTGAGGTTTATAGACGTGTGTGTGTGTGTAATTTGAGGCAAACATAAAAAAATGGTCTTGTGACCATTGTAATATTTGTCTTAATTATATTGCCTTCTTTTATCATATTTAGAACTTTTTAAATTATATGATTGAAACTGTTACTGTTTATTCTTTTATCAGACAAATGGCTTTGCATTAGGTACTCTGTTTTTGCACATGCAATATTATCAGTTTCTTCTCAGTGCAATGCAACCCCTTTTCAACTCCTGAATAGAATGTGAAATAGAAGCAGATTTTTACAGATGTGTGTGTAATCACACACCATAGCCCAACACGTTCAGGAGGTCAGTGCCTTATCCAGTAGGCAGCTGGGACACCCCACACATTCATGTGAAGACTTTGTAGCAACAGAGGGGAGAAAACCCCCTCAAGTTATTTCTTTCTAAATTTCTTTCATAAACCTCTATAAAACGCACAAAATCTTCCCTTGTCCTTAATGGATATGATGAGTCGACTGTAACTCGCAGAGACCCTGTGTGTACAAGTAGAACAACTCAACAGAGTGTTCCAGTCTGCGACCTTTCAGAAGCAAGTATATTTGAGTGGATTCAAACCACCAACTTTGCCCCTAGTGTTGAAGTGCTTACACAGCTCTACCACTCAGGAACTCCAGATGTATTTATTTCCTTCACAATTGCAGCCCTAATTTTAGAGGATGATGTTTATGCATTAAAATAACCTGCTGAGTTTGTTAATCTGTAGTAAATGGTGAATGTCTTGATGTGTCCTGATGCGATCATGAAACTGCTTTTGGGAAGATAGCTACGTGGGTACTTGGTTGAATGATGGGTGGATGGGCAGACTGATGGACCGTGGGCACACAAAGCCTTTTTGTGATAAGCCAGTAAACCAACAATTCCCTTTTCTCCCTCCAGTCGGGCCTTACCCCTATCCATGTTGCTGCCTTTATGGGGCATGTAAATATTGTATCACAACTAATGCATCATGGAGCCTCACCAAACACCACCAACGTGGTAAGTATCCTTTTGACAAAGAAAACCTAATTCTGGACTATCAAGAAACTGCTGCTTTAATCTATTTACACTTGATAATGTTGTTGAGTCAGGACCAATTAGTAGCTGACACTCCAGTGGGTTTTCATAGACAGTAAATCACACGGGAGGAGATTGTCCATCTTCTATGTAGCAGCTGGTGGCTCCAAACTACATACCTTTGGATCAGCAGTGCCATTCCTTACCACTAAGCCACCAGAGCTCCCTCATTCTTAGTTGTACTCAAATTAGTTGCTATTTTATTTGACAATATGGAAAGATAGAGTGTGGAACAACTTGTGGTTTCTTTTACTGCTTAAGTAAGTTCTGTTCAGTTGGCAGCTGCCCATAAATTGTTAAAACGTATCAGTCTTACAGGTATTTTATTAGGGGACATTATGCTTTGTGAAATAACATGTTTGGTAGGGGACTTTCTAAAACAGAAGTAGTAAGAAGTTAGAGAAGAGGGTTCAAGTGCGATCATTATTTATTTAAAGGAGTGATTTTTAAGTCACTTGAAAGTAATTTCTCATTTGCATGCTTGATTGTGTTATCACAAACCAATAGAACTCTGTGTTCCTACTATCAGATGGCGGTGTTTTCCCACCCTAAGCGTTGCTCTACCAGAACATGAAAACTCATTTCAGAACACAGAGCGATAACTTACCATTCGCGATTGGCATGTGGTATTTTACAGGATTCTAAATTTGAAACCAGAATAGCGTTAGTGTACTGAACCATAAGCGCAAGAGTATTCACTGGCCTCATGAACACAAAATAAAATAAGCAACATTCAGAACAGAAGAAAAGGCAGAAAAAGCTGTGAGTTCCTGCCCCTCACCCTGAGGGTAGGCCTCCAGAAAGGCTCTTTTGGCAGCCAAATGAGCAAATGTGTAAGATAGACACAGACCAGTGTCTCCGCTGAAGCAGCTTTTCCTGGTACTGATGCCAGAAAGAGAATGTTTTCCTTCACCAAGAGAACACTGGGTAATGTGCTTAAAAACATCCTCAACACATTTCCAATCAATGCAATGGCACGTTCTGTTTAAATGTGCCTTCCTGTGTCCTTCTATGAAGGCTAAATTGATAAAAGCAATTTAAAGGTGATCATGGCTTGTGTGAGCAACTATATATGGTTCTTATTAGTGTCTCAACTGATATTTTCTGTGTTGGATTTTCATGAAAATAAGACATTTAACATTCTGAAATAAACTCTATTTACTAAAAAGGGTGGAGCAGGGGATGCCCAGTTGTTGTTGTTGTTGTTGTTGTTGTTATGTGCCGTTGAGTTGCTTGCGATTCAGCGACCCTATGTACAACAGCCCTAAAACTCTGCTCTGTCCTGTGCCAATCGCACTGTTTCTGATACTCCCATCCCGATTATCCCAGTCACTGAATCAATCCACCTCATAGAGGGCCTTCCCTTCCTGCACTGTCCCCATCCCCATTGGGCTTATACCTCAAGACTAGGATGCTAGTCTCCTTTGATAAAGTTGAGAATGAAAACTAGCTGAGACAAGCCCAGTCTGGCCCTTGGGTGTGTTTCCATGGCACACGCAGTATTCTGTTATGTTTTAGTGGTTTACATTTAGAAAGATAGAACTGCATGCTCTTATCCACACTGCTGCTTTAAAAGAAAAAAAAAAAACAAAAAAACAAACACACCACAGCTGGGTGTAGCATCATGAAGCTGGCATTCCTCCACAGCTGCCCCAGGTAGACAAAGTGTGGCCTCTCCCTCGGAGCACCCCTCCTGTGCCCACCTCTCTTCACCCTCCAACTTGGCCCCTGTAACCATTCTTCTGAAGGGAATTGAGGTCGTGCAATGGACTAGTGAGTAATGTTTCTGGTGCTGTTGGTGACAAGGCTTCTTTGGGTTACACAAAAGCCTCAGAAACATGAGTTAGTCTCAGATCTTATTTCCTAGCCTTCCAGTATAGAAGGCCTTGGAATAATTTTTAATGAAAAAAACAGTAACCTCCATCATAAACTCTAGTCCAATAAAATATGCCCATTTACTTCCAAACTGTGGCTCATTCATGTTGGTTTATGTTCCCCAGAGAGGAGAAACAGCTCTGCACATGGCAGCTCGATCAGGCCAAGCTGAAGTTGTGCGGTATCTGGTCCAAGACGGGGCGCAGGTCGAAGCTAAAGCTAAGGTACGTGCAGCACATGAAAGCCTCTGCTGCTAAGGGAGGAGAAACGCCTGGTTTTCATAAATCTTTTAAACATATTACATGTTTTCTTTCAAGCAAACTTCCCTGCATTTGTGAACAAACTCCAGTTTCTACTCAAGAATAATTTCACAAGACTAATTCCCTTCATATTTGTTCATTCACTCTTTGAACACAATTAAAAAGAACAAGAACTTGGTGTCAGAGATTGTTCTTGGTGCCTCATTAATCTCTGAAAGATTAAGAACCAAAATTATCATTTTGCCCAGAGATCTTCCCACACTCAGCTGAATGACTCAAACACAGAGTTTCCAGAAAATGAAATGGTGAAAATGAGGCTGAACTCTGTCTGCTGTAGATTGCGAGAAACCCCCCCATTTGTAAGAGACACTACTTACATTGGAAACACTTATCTATTGGGAGTGGGTTTCACTCACAAGCTGAAACTGAGGACATGATTGTTTATTAAAGAGTATGTATAATGATGGTTTTGAGGCTGACCACTTTGACCACATTGCTTGAGTTTAAATCTTGGTCTACCATTTACTAGCTGTGCAATGTTGGACAAGTTATTTAACATTTTTGTGCCATATTTCCTTAGATAATTTTATCATCTAAAAAATAGGATGATGATAGTTCTAAGTTACAGGATTGTTGGGAATATTAAGGAATTAAAGCAGACACAGCCTGTGACATTTTCAGTGCTAAGTATAATGTATGCTGGTGATGTCGTAGAGGTAGATGACATTTTTCTTTATCATCTATCCACTCATAACTTCCCTATTTCTCTTCCCTCTTGTAACGCCTCACCAAACTCTCATTTTGTGCTTCCTATTGGTTTTATGAAACTTGCTTGGACTTTAACTCCCATCCACCCACCCTTCCAGCTATGCCCTTTGATCTAGTCTCTTCTCTCAGTTGCCACTTCTCAGTGGATTTATCTAAAATTCATCATATTCTTGTAGGGAATTTAGTTTTTGAGAACCATAACTAGACCATTAGAAATTGGAAAATCATATCCCAAATTGGAAAAATTATCCTTCCTGCTTGGACATAAGACATTAAAGGGACAGAACTTAGTGAGTGCCTCATGACTTTGGGTGAATTTTAATATGATACTCCTATATTCTCTTAAAGTCTTATAGCAAAATGGGCAAAGAGCTAATGTTAGAAAACCAAAAGGGAAGAACATGCTCAGCATTTCTCAAATTGAAAGAACTGAAAAATAAATGCAAGCTTCGAGTGGCAATACTTCACATTTCAATGGGCAAAAGTTTGAATGATAATGGAGGCATCATAAGAAGCTAGAGAATACAGGCAGAAATGCACAATCTGAAGAAGATAAAGTTGAGGAATGGGACCTTCTAAAGGTTAAATCCATGTGTGCATCAAAAACTTTTTCCAAAAGGGTGAAAAGAAAACCTACCAACTCAGAACAAACATTTGGTAATAGCATCTCAGACGAGAGTCTCCTAATGAAGTGTACAGAATACTCTTGGGCCTCCACAAGAAAAAGACTGAAAACCCAATTGCAAAATGGGCAAAAGACATGGAAAGAATTTTCACAGAGGAAGATATTCAAATGCAAACAGACACATGAAGAAGTGTTCCAAATCACTGCCAGTAAGAGAAATGCAAATCAAAACCACAATGAGGTACCATCTTACTCCAGTAAGAGTGGCAAAGTTTAACAGGGCAGCAAGTAATAAATGTTGGAGAGGACGTAGCGAGAAAGGAGCTCTTATACATTGTTGGTGGGATTGTAAAATGGTACAACCGTTCTGGACGGCAGTTTGGTGTTTCCTCAAAAGCTGAAACATAGAAATTCCGTATGACCCAGCTATTCCACTACTTGAAATATACCCTGAGAAAATGAGAACTGATGTACAAATGGAGATTTGTACACCAATGTTCATAGCAGCATTATTCACCATCACAAGAACATGGAAAGAGCCCAGATGTCCAACCACAATCGAATGGATTGAGAAATTATGGTACATTCACACAATGGAATACTATGCAGAACACAGGAGCAATGATTTTGTAAATTATTGCCTAACATGGGAGAGGCTGGAGAGCATTATGATGAGTGAACTAACTCAGTCTCACAGGACAAATATTGTATAAAACCATTATTATAGAATGAGTATAAGGATCCAAGGGAGTTGGGGGAGGGTGAAAGCAGAGGGATGAGGATACAAAGGGAGGGGAGGATTAATTATGGGGTTGTACAATTTGATATGTGGGGGTGAGGAGATTGGAAGAATATGTTCTCAAAATCAGTGTATTTGAATTTTGTAAATAAACCAGTATTTAAAAAAATAAAAGAAGCTGGAAGGAATACAGAGTCACTGTGCGATAAAGAACAGTGAGTCATTTCAAGAAGTTCTACATCATCAAGCGTCAGTAGTAATATTAGAAGAAGTCTAATCCTCTTATTAGAGGTCTAATGTTAATTCTAAGTCTAATTTTAATAGTAATATTAGAAGAAGTCTAATACACTGATTAAAAGTCTAATGCACTAAAGATACTGGCAAAAATAATGCTCTAGGAATTATGATGACCTATCAGTAAACAGATGCAGCCCTGATGTGACCATTAGTCTATGCCAAGAAGATATCCATATTCCCATTCCTAAAAAGGTGATCCAACAAAAAAATGGAAATTATCAAACAATATTGATATCACATGCAAGCAAAATTTTGCTGAAGATTAATCGAAAATGGCTGTAAGAGTACATCAACAGAAAACTGTCAGAAAGTCAAGCTGGATTCTGAAGAAGCCATGGCATGAGGGCTGTCATTTCTAATGTCAGATGGATCTTAACTGAAAGCAGAGAATACAAGAAAGATGTTTACTTGTGTTTTATTAACTCAGCAGCGATATTTCACCTTATAGATCGTAACAAATTATGGCAAACATTGAGAAGAATGGGAATCCCAGAATATTTAGTTGTACTCATGCAAAACTTATGCATAGACCAAGAAACAGTTGTCTAACGAAAGTTTTTGTGGGGATTTTTAAATTTTATTTTAATGCATGCATCTTTGTTCTTGTCCTCTCCTTTGCTAACCCTGCTCATAGCTAGCAGAAAAGTTATGCACCTCTCCCTCAGCTACATTGCTAGCCTTTCCTATCACTGCCATTTCTGCCACAGGATCCCACCTAGGTCAGTTTTCCAAGGGACTAAAAGCAACATGACACATAAAAAACTCATCACAATGATGAGATATGATTTTCGTTTCATTCCATTCTCTTTATGATGCAGACAAGGTATCAGGTTCGGGAGAAATTACTTTGCCAGGATCACACTGCCGAAACTCATTCCTATATTGAGTTTTACTCTATGCTGCTTCCCATTTCCTCTTTAAATATTCCACCACTAAGTTTATGCACGTAACATTCATGTCACCATTCCATGACTTTTACCGGTTTTGTATAATGGCAGTTTAAAAACTAAGTACCTGACCCAAGTCATATTTTTTAGATTTTTTTCCTACTAGTTTATTTATAAAATTCAAATACAAATTTGAACAAATTCTTTCAATTTCCCTCATCTCCCTTCCCATCAAATTGTACAACCCAATGATTAATCATCCCCTCCTTCTGCACATCCACATCCCTCTGCTTCCAGCCTCTCCCACCCCTCCTGGATCCTTATACTCATTCTACAATAACAGTTCTATGCAATATTTATCCTTATGGGATTGAGTTAGTTCACTCATCGTAATGCTCTCCAGTCACTCCAAGGTAGGTAATAATTTACAAAGTTATTGCTCCTGTGTGCTGCATAGTATTCCATTGTGTGAATGTACCATAATTTCTCAATCAGTTCATTTGTGGTTGGACCTGTGGGCTGTTTCTATGTTCTTTCGATGGTGAATAATGCTGCTATGAGCATTGTACAAATATCAGTTTGTGCCTCAGTTCTCATATTCTCAGGGTATATTCCAAGTAGTGGAATAGCTGGGTCATATGGAATTTCTATGCCCAGCTTTTTTGAGGAAGTGCCAAACTGCCTTCCAGAATGGTTGCACCATTTTACAATCCCACCAACAATGTATAAGAGTTCCTTTCTCACCAACATCTATCACTTGCTTCCGTGTTCAACTTTGCCACTCTTAACTACAGTGAGATGGTACCTCACTGTGGTTTTGATTTGCATTTCTCTTATTGGCAGTGATTTGGAACATTTCGTCATGAATCTGTTTGCCATTTGAACATTTTCCTCTGTGAAAATTCTTTCCATGTCTTTTGCCCATTTTGCAATTGGGTTTTCAGTCTTTTTCTTGTGGAGGCCCAGGAGTATTCTGTAAACTTTTGTTAGAAGACTCTTGTCTGAGATGGAATTACCAAATGTTTGTTCCCAGTCTGGAGATTTTCTTTTCACCCAGCTGGAAAAAGTTTTTGATGTGCATAGAGATTTAATCTTCAGAAGGGTCCCATGCATCAATTTTATCCTCTTTAGATTGTGCATTTCTGGTTGTATTTGGCAGTCTCTTTATATGTTGTACTATTGCTTCTAAGCTTGATTCCAGTTTGTCTCTTAAGAAAGGTATGGTTTTGGGCCTTGCTCCCAGGTCTCTGAACCATCTTGAATTGATCTTTGTATGTGGCGTGAGATGTGGATCCTGTTTCAGCTTTCTGCAAGTGGAAGTCCAGTTTTGCCTTTTTTTGCACCATTTGTTGAAGATGTTATCACTTCCCCATTTGATAGCTTTGATTTGCTTGTCAAATATCAGTTGACCATAGATAGCTGGGTGTATTTCTGTGTTTTCAAGTCTGTTCCATTGGTCAATGTGCCTGTTTTTGTACCAGTACCATGCTGTTTTGGTTACCACTGCAGTATAGTAGGTTTTGAGGTCAGGGAGTGCTATGCCTCCAACCTCATTTTTTATTCTCAAGTCATGATATTTTCAATTGCTTTGTATGCATGTGAAATTTGAATAATTAATAAAGAAGACTAAAGAGGGGCTGCCTGTAAATGATAGTGTTGATGGGGAATCTTGACTATCCCATGGACTACTGAGAAAACAAATCTGTCTTGGAGGAGGTGCAACCAGGGTGCTCCTTTGAGACAAGAACAGTAAAATGTCATCTCATACTTTAGGTATGCGCTTGGGAAAGACATCTCTCAAAGAGGGTCAACAAAAGAAATCCCTCAACAAGATGGATTGATGAAGCGATCACAACAATGGTTTTTAGCATGGTGGAGATTGTAAGGATGACACAAGATGAGTTGTAGTTGACTGAATGGTACCTAACATCTTACATATACTTGATGAAGTCCCTAGACAGTGGATCTTAGGTCTCTATTGTGCAGGTAAGGAGACTGGAGGCGGAAGGTGAACAGAGAGACAATAACCTGCCCAGGGTCACATACTTGTTAAGAAGGAGGAGCCAGGTATGAGCTCAGCTTTGTCATTTCAAAATTGGAGCCCTGAATACACATTGTGTTTGCCTGGGCTCTGTGGGAAGGGCTGTGCTGTCATTGTTTACATTTATGAGATGGCATTGAGGAGAGAAGCCTTTGAGGAAATTTCAGCTGAAGAGGCAGCTCAGGTAAAGGAATTCAGGTTGTGACCGTACTTCCTTGGCAACTGAGCCAAGTAGAACCTGGAACCCTGGTAACCAAGCCTCACATTCTAGACACAACTCCCTACTAGCTCGTTTGGGTAGTGATACTCGAGACATCAACATGTTTTCTTAGAACACATAAAGAGCTCATCTTTTTCATAACATTTCAGAAAAGGGTTTCGTCTTCATCCCTAGAGGCTCTCCCCATCAGTTACCACATGAAACCAAAGGTAACACGTAGTTGTTCAGAGAAGGCTGATTCAGGCCAGGCCTACATGATGATCCCACTTGGGTGGCCCCTCCCACTCCTCAGGTCATTTGAGCCATAGGTCATGCCAGCCCTTGACCTCTAGGGCACCCAGGCTGGGACCATATGGGGAAGGATAACACTACTGATGAGACAGGGTTCACTTGAAAGATGTATGAGGCTCAGGGAAGGTGGGGTCATGCTATCTGGGGAGATTTAGGAGGGCAGAGATGATGATGATGATGATGATGATGATGATGATGATGATATTGATATTGATATTTCACAACTGCCAAGTCCTTTCCTAGGCTCATCGCACACTGTCTTCACCATCACTGGGTACTAGGAGGCTGAGCTTAGCCTTATAGATTTGGCTGGACCTCATCCATCAGATTGGGTACTTTGAGAACTGAGGGAGGCAGAGGTGACACAGGTGGTGAATTGTTTCACTTCCTTGCCCTGACTTTTCTAATTATGCAGGAAGATGGGACCTGAGCCTCTTCCAGGGGTTCCAGTTTAGACCCAGGGCTTTAGGGATCGAACTGTCAGTGGGTCAAGTTGTCACTCTCACTTGATCTTTCTCTGAGCTATGCATTCACCCTGTGTGAGGTAGTCACCCGGGGGTCCACTGAGGGCCCTGTGCTGGGGCCAACCCCTCCCAGAGCTTCCCACAGATCTCATCAGTTGATATCTTTGCTTCTATTGTCCCTCTTCCCAGGAATGGAGGTTACGGAACCTGGTCAGCCTCAGCTAATGGACTTGTTAAAATGGTATCTGACAGCCACAAAGATACATATTCCCTAGGAAAATGCAACCCGTTCAAGAAGAGGATAGCTTTCCTCTCCAATAAGCCATCGTGTGTGGAAACCTTTGTGCAGGGCACATCTGCCCAATCCCACACTGTTCATGTTCTCCTCTTTTGTGACCCTGAGAAGACGGAACCAACACAGTCATTACTAAGAACCAGTAATGGGTAGAAATACAATAAACCTACCAGCTATTTGCATTTTCCCGGGATATAGTCTCCTGCGCATCAAGAAAGAACTCCTTAGAGTTTAAAAATGAAATTATGGCAGGGGTCATAATTATGATGGGGAAAATTTGTAGATGTAACTGCCTTTGATAGTTTTCAGACTAATAGGTGAAGCCAATAATATTTAAAGATCTGATGTCTACTATCTTCACTTTTCTTAACCTTAAAAAAAAAAATAAGATTCTTTCTAGCATTCAATCAAAGAGTTGCTTGAAGTCTGTCTTCTCAAACGGCTAACATTCAGAGTTTGTACAGTATGTTTGTACATTGTGTTGTCTGCTCATCAGCGTTGCATTTCCACCTTGCCATTTAGGATGACCAAACGCCACTCCACATTTCCGCCAGACTGGGCAAGGCGGACATAGTCCAGCAGCTGCTCCAGCAAGGAGCATCTCCAAACGCAGCCACGACGTCAGGCTACACCCCGCTCCACCTTGCAGCCCGAGAGGGACACGAAGACGTTGCTTCATTTCTTTTGGATCATGGCGCATCTCTTTCTATAACAACAAAGGTAATGAAAGCAAGTCTTGGGATCCTGTTGTGTCCCCTAAAATACATATTTTTCATTGCTCCCAGCAGAGTGATAGGTATAGAAATACCTATCTTTCGAATCCTAGGTAATGATTAACATGGTTAGCACCCCATTTCACTCTGTTGGTAGGGTACGTTTATAATACGTCCAAGACAAGAGGTGGATTTCTACACCAAGGTAGTTGTTATAGACAGAAGAAAGGGTGAGCAGACACTCTCAGGATCTCAATATCTTCTGTTTATTGAGCTAGAACCATTTGCCATTTTGATTCACCTGTGAAAGCTAAGATGAGAGACAACCTGGCTTCCAGTCCTGAAGATCTGAGCATGTGTAAGGACATGTGGACACTGGGGAGATAGAAAAGGAGAAGAGAAAAGGGTATGGTGTGGTGAAAAGTGGTTCCAGGAGGTCCTGACATAACCTGGGCTTTCTCAAACATTCTCTTGTAGAAGTTCCCCAAATTGAGCTTGGCACCCTGCGATCTGCTCTCTCCACACACGTTCACTACTACCATCAAGTCAGCACCAGTGCATCTCTGACCCTCCAGTGATTTTTCAGAGGCTGTAGTCTCGTTTGAGAAGATTGCCCAGGTTTATTCAGCGGAGTCTCTGGTGGATTCAAACCACCAGAGAGGAGCTGCCTCTGGGTTGTCAGTGTAACTCCTTGTGGACTGCACCACCGGCACCCCCTCTTTTCTCAAAATGGACTTGGAAGGAGTCCCAGCCCCAGCCCCATCTTAGTGAAAAGCCCGAGAAAGCTCAGAAATAATGGCATATCGTGCTTTGGCCAAGAGAGAGAAAGATTAGAGATCCGGACATACCCTGCTCATCCACGGTGATAAGAGGATGCAACTTTTCATCCTCTGGTCTTTGTTCTTACGTGCAGGCTTAACTGTACTTCATCATTAGAAAAGTGATGTCCTTATGCCATTTTTGTTGTTCATTGTGTTATGTTTCTTCGTTTCAGAAAGGATTTACTCCCCTTCATGTGGCAGCAAAATATGGGAAACTTGAAGTAGCCAATCTCCTGCTACAGAAAAGTGCATCCCCTGATGCTGCAGGGAAGGTAGGAGGTCATTGGCCGCCCTGTAACAGGCCACTCCCATGACACAAAGGCGTGCTTGCTAATACTCCCCAACTACCACTCAAATGATAATGAAGCTCTAGTTATGTCTCATTAGGATGAAGAACACTTGGGAAATAGGAGGTGAATGATGGGTCCAGTTGTTGTGGAAGTTGTAAAACAAGTTATATGCTCTGTGTTATATCCAATCTAATTCACTTCCCTAAATCTAGGTCTTTGATATTAAGGCACTTGTGACACTGGTTATTGTTTCTGCACGTGTTTTCAGAGCGGGCTAACTCCACTGCATGTAGCTACACACTACGATAATCAGAAAGTGGCGCTTCTGCTTTTGGACCAAGGAGCCTCACCTCACGCAGCTGCAAAGGTACCTATAATTCAAGTAGCGCACGGAGACTGTTGAGCTGTGTCTTTCAGCCTCTCAATATGTAACTATTGTTCCTTTATTTACAGTAGCCCCCACCCCAGTTTAGGTGCCACTTAACACCACAGAAATATAATCTCCTTAGGAAACGTGTCTTCAGCTATTTAGCCAAATAGTGTGGCAGATTCTCAATAACTATTTACTTGTTGATGGTTTTTCTTAAAAATCCAGGACATCCTGGAGCCTAGGGAGGGGAAGAAGTTGGAGAACCCTTAACTATGTTAAAATATGAGCATAGCCCGGGGGAGTAAGAAAGTGCAGATTTTCCAAAGTCATAAAGTGTGTGTTACATTTTCCTGGCAATAAATACTGCCTTCCCTTTGCATATTGGCATTTACTAGTGTAAGGTTGGGGAAAGCTGTCTATGTATTTCAGCTCTTGCTAAGGAGAATATTTATTCTTATTGTTGGGGCATTTTTGACTAGGAGACAACCTAGATTTCCCAGAAGAGAGATGCATGGAGCGTGGAGCACCTTCGTTTTTCTGGTATTCTGAGTTGAAGGACAAGTCATAAAGAAGGAATTGTTTAAACACAGATCTTAAATGGGCCATGGCCAGAGAATCATGGAATGTTGAACACCATGATTTAAACATTATCAATTTTTTTTTTTTACTAAATACTATTTTATTATTACTAAATAGGATTTTACTAAAGGATTCGTTTTACTAAATGATTGAAGGACCGGTTAGCCTCCCTAATGCTTATTCTATGTGTACTTTAAGATCAAATATCTTCTACACATAAGTTAACAAACTTGGCCACTTCTGGGTTACTTTAAGAGAAAACTTCTTTATTTAGAGAATATGATGCCTTTGATAGGTATTTCTCCTCAGCCCCCTGTTTCCTGCATTTCTATATCACTTCCTCCCCCTATTCTCCAGAATATTCCCAAGACAATCTATAATTGAAAATCAAACCCTTAAATCTGTTTTTCGAAATCTAATAACCATTTTTTACCTTTACAAACATATAATTTCTAATGTAAAAGTGTATCTTTACCTTTTTTTTAAAAGAAATGAGATATAATTGTAATGAAGTGTAATGACTATTCATTTCTAAATTTTTTAATTTTAATTGTAATGAAGTGTAGTGATTGTTCATTTTTCTTTCCTTTTTCTGGTGTTATTTTAATGTGTCCATGAGCCAGGGTCTACTCTAAACCCTTATGTGAACTCTAAAATTATTTTTATTATTTTAAATTGCATTTGTTTTCATTTTCATCTTGAAATGCAAGCAAACATGGCAAATAGTTAGTCCTCTCTATTTGATTTGATTGTGTTGTTTTAAGGTTGTTTTACAGTTTAGCCTTAACATGGTTTCTTTTTTCTGAGTAACACATCAGTCTCCTTTCATTTGGCAAATAAAATTCATTTTATTCTCCAGAAATTAGAAATATTTTAGAAAATTTAGTAATTCCATTAGAGGTTCAAAATCAGCTAGTTTTACATTTTTTGAGTGTGTTGTTGTTGTTGTTATGTGCCGTCGAGTCGTTTCCGACTCATAGCGACCCTATGCACAACAGCCCTAAAGCCTGCTCTATCCTGTGCCAACCGCACCGCCTCTGATACACCCATCCCGATTACCCCAGTCACCAAATCAATCCATCTCATAGAGGGTCTTCCCTTCCTGCGCTGTCCCTCCACCCTCCCAAGCATGATGTCCCTCTCCAAGGACCCGTCCCTCCTGGCAACATGTCCAAAGTATGTCAGACGAAGCCCCAGAATCCTTGCCTCCAAGGAGTAGCTTGGTTTAATCCTCTCCAAGATGAATCTGTTTGTTTTCCTGGCAGTCCGTGTATCATGCATATTTTGGATATAACTTTTATTGGAAAAGTATAACATGAGTTATTTTTCCTTTGCTTTATATCTTCTTCCTTGAGTAAGATGCTTGGGATAAACTCCTAAACAATCAGCAGGTCTGGCATTGGCAGGATTTACAGAAGATGCTGGCACTCTGGTGGATTAGTAGTAAGTGGTTGCACTACCATCCATCAGGCAAGCACCTCAAATCCTACAGTTTCTCTGCAAGAGAAAGATGGGCAGCCTCCTCCCATTCAATTTGCTATCTCTAAAAACCCACTGGAATGTCAGTTTAGAGTCAGTTCTTGACTTGACAGTACCTAACAACAACAGAAGGTGCTTGAGTTTCTCTTGATGGCCATCGGACCTTTGGGGGGAAATAGAAATAATCAAGAGGATTGTTGGGTCTGTAGGAGCCTCAGAGGTGAGGTGATTAATTGTTCTACTATTACATGGTGTTTTGAATCTACCAGTTGTTCCATGGAAAATAAGGCTGTCTGCTTCAATAAAGATTACAGGCTAGGGGACCAGATGGGGATGTTCTACTCTGTTCTATAGGTTTGCTATGAATCAAAATGGACTTGAAGGCAATTGGATGGAGATTTTGTGTTTTGTGTCTGAGAGGGTATTAATCTGCCTTAACCTTGGCTTCAGAAGCAAAGTCTATCATGAAAGTTGATAGGATATCAGTTGTGTTTGATGTGTACCATTCAATCAGAACTGACCCATAGTCCTCTAGCAGGTTATCTGGGGGTGGGGGGGAGACACAAGAGGAAGTTGCCCATTTTTCTCCTGTGGAACAACTAGTAGATTTGAACCATGTGCTTTTAGGTTGGCAGTGCAGCACCTGACCACCAGGACACCAGGGCTCTCTGCGGAAAGGCAAAGAGAAGATATATCATAAGGCATTAAAACCTGACTATGTCTTATTGCCTTTGTCACTCAAATTAGCTAATGTTGAACATATGACTAATTTGATTTCTTGTTTTGGTGTTTTGAAATTTTGTATTTAGCATAGAGAGGGTGGAACAGCTTCCCACCTCCTGCCACTCATCAGAGACTTGAGCTCCAGCCAAGGCTCCAAATTCAGCTCTAAAGGCTTTGGTCTCTGGAGGGTGTGTCAGAGCAGAGGGTCAAATGCTTCCTGGGGCAGCTGGGGCTTCCAGATGGCAATAGGGTGAGACTAAATATAGGGATATAAAATCTTCTACCAGGGCTCATCCAGTTACAGAGTCTGGTTTCAGAAAGTTTGGAAGTGACATTTCCACTTTGATGGATTGAAACTCAGTGGCCTAAATAACCTACAATCAATTACAACACTTTTCAAGTGAAAAAAGCTGTCAGGCTAGGGGATGCCTGTACCTTGAAATATAAGTGTTGATAATGGTGAGTTGCTCAATCTGTGGGTGCATTGGCCCCCAAAATGTTTAGTTGTTTCCAAAACATTCTCCTTGCTTGGAAAGACTGTGACTTGATCCAGACTCCTCGTCTAGACTGGGATTATACCTCCAAATTTCAATCCTCAAAATCTTTCTCTAAATCCTCTGTCTATTAAAATATAGTTTCCATTTTCCTTTGGAATACTTTATAGGGACACATTCATGGCTGTGTCAAAATATGATCTCGCATTTCCATGAAGTGACTGTGAATCAGGACAGAGTCTCGCAAGCTTTTTCTCCAGAGGGCGGGAGAATCTGAAGGTGCCTGAGAAACAGCTAATAAATAATTTGTCAAAGTTTGATTGTGACCACCTCTGCTTCTGAGCATCAAGAATTGGCCAAGAGAATTTTTTTTAAAATAAAATTTTTATTTTACACGGAAAAAAAAAAAAAAGAATTGGCCAAGAGGAAGATACTAGAATGTTTGAAGCTCTAGTAAGCTTCTTTCAAATTTTGATATTTCTTTTCTTCATTTAATAAATATTTTCAAGTTATTTAGAGGGAGCTTTGGTGGCTTAGCGGCTAGGGAGTTTCGCCGCCAACCCAAAGGTGACCCTTCTCTGGCGGTTCCAATCCACCAGTGGCTCAGAGGGAAAAGCCTCTATAAACCCACAGGAGGGTCAGCTATGAGTTGATTCCAACTCAACAGCAATGAGGTGAGAGATACATGATAAATATGTGCTCCCGGTGAGATTGTGTTTATTGAGAGAAAATATACATGTAAATAGGATAGTGCAATTCATTAGAGTTAGTAGAGGTAGACTTGAGAAAGGAGGATCCTTCAAATGATGCTTAGATGCTGACCATTGGGCGTAGTGGGAGAATGCAGTCTTGGTACCACAGTCAAGACAGAGAAACATGAGGTTATATATTGTTTAGGGAATGTGCAGGAGTATAGCATTGTTGTCAATGTTAATTGCTGTGGTTGTTGTTGTGTGTGACATTGAGTTGGAACTCAGTGACTCCTAGCTGACCCTCTGGCAGATTTTCAGAGGCAGTTAATCGCACAGGAAAAGACTGCCCATCCTTCCCTCATGGAGCAGCTGGTGGATTCGAATTGTGTGCCTTCAGGACTTCAGTGCAGCTTCTTGCTGTTAGGCCACCAGAGTCAACTCTAATTCATTCCAGCCTCTTATGTCATAGAACAAAACCTTCCCTGATCCCACACCATTTTCCTGATCGTGATATATTTGAGCACATTGGTGTGCTTGTCCATCTCGCTGGAGGTTTTCCTCATCTTCTGATCTCTTTTTAAAAACACGATGAGCTTGGCTAGCAGTTGGTCTTCTCTGAGGCTGTATGTATCCAAAGTGTCACCTTCATTCTCAATTCCAAGGAATTTCTCATTGACTTTCTTCTAAAACTCAGGAAAGAATTTAGATGGAATTTGGTGAAGGAGGATATCAAAGGGGCAGATAATATCTTCTGAGCTAACATGAAAATGAGAATTTTCAACCTGGCAGCAGTAAATGGCCATTATAAAAGAGAAGCCCTCATTTCTGCTGATTCCAACACATGATTCCCCCATGAATCTATAATCTCTATGAAAACAGATTTCTGGCCCTTTGTTGAGTAGTGCTCCTGAGTGGGTTCTAACTGCCAACCTTTAGGTTAATAGATGAACATAAACACATGGTACCACATAGTTTGCTGCTTCCCAGTAAGAGTTCTTCCAATCTCTTCTTGTTAAGAAGAAAGTATGTAATTATTGAGCACTCACTACCATGTTTTTTAATGAAAGCGAGAGCTATTCCTTTTGAAAAATCAGTGTTAATGTTAGCAACAGGTACCCTGACTTCCTTGTGTTAAATTGTCTGTATTAAAGTGTTTCCCCTATTTTTTTATTCCTATATAGGAATTTGCATGTCATGAGGGCACTACATTAATGGCACCACTTGATTTACCAGTGTTTGCTTGCTTAATCGTGATTTCTTAAGCAAAGAAAATCACTACAAAGAGAGGCTACTATATGAAAAATGCACCGTTACCCACTTTTATCTTGTTCCCCGGCATGTGACCAATGTGTTTCATGTTGACAGAATGGTTATACACCACTGCACATCGCAGCAAAGAAGAACCAGATGGACATTGCAACCACCCTGCTGGAATATGGTGCTGATGCAAACGCAGTTACCCGGCAAGGAATTGCTTCTGTCCATCTCGCAGCTCAGGAAGGCCACGTGGACATGGTGTCATTGCTCCTCAGCAGAAACGCTAATGTGAACTTGAGCAATAAGGTAGCCTTTTTCCTTTCTCTGCAAAGCACACATCACTGCAATATCTTCACCTTACGGGACGTTCACTAAAGAACCATGAAAAATTCAGGCCCAGTACTTACACATTGCATGAAGATTCTTACCACAGCCCAGGCCTGAAAGCAAGCTGTTTAACAATAAGAGACTTGGCAAATAAATATTTGCAAAGTCATGCTGAGTAAATCAAATTAAAATGAGGTCCACCAAGGTTTGCTGATAACATGATGTTCTTTATGGAGCAACATTGTTATTTTACAAAAACAGAGCAAGTAAGAAGGTGCAAATTTTAGCCTGTTGATTCAGTCTCTCACATATTTTGGACTCTTGCTTGTTGTTTGTCACAGTTTTAAATCCCAGTTTACAAAGAGAAGTTAGAAATACTACCCTCTCTGCAGAGTTAATTTGAATTAAAAAATATTTAGAGTAGCAGTTTACTGAAATAAATTCAAAAGGTTGTCAGTTTACATTTCTTTGTATATAAATTGGCAATGAAGACTTGATTCACTAAACTCTTCACAGCCCTGCCTTTATCTTTAATATGCACTGTTGTTGAAGAAGAAACCCAAGTTTTTGTCAAATAAAGTGAACGCTCAGCCCCACAATTGGTCAGAAACTGGCTCATGACGCTAATGCCTTTCACTGCACATGTCAGAGAAATTACATCACGAACTGCTCATTAATACCTGAGTCTGAGGTCCACCCAAAACGTAGGACAGATGATTCGAAATCTTGTGATAGTACAAAGCCCTACAAGAAGGCCCAGAGTCCTTGATAGGCCACCAGACCACCTAGGGCTGTCAAGTGAATATCTGACTAAGAACTGCTGTCATCAGAGTAGAACTGTGTTCCACGGGCTTTTCAGCGCTGGTTTTGGCAAATGTGGACTGCCAAACCTTTTGTCCAAAACAGCTCTGCGTAGGCTAGAACCTCTGACCTTTTGTTAGCAGCCTTAATTGTTGCACCACCTAGAGCCTCCTGGTAATCCACACAACCAGGCATGTCAGTACTCTGCTTCCTCTTGGTTCCTGGCGCAGTATGGCTGACATTTCTTCACTGTAATACAGATACTAACCCCTCAGGATAGCACTGGTATATAGAACGAACACTGTAAATATTTCTACCGGAGGTTAGAAATCACAGACACTTGTGTTTGAATCTTAAGTCTGACTATAATTAGAGGTGTTATTTAGGCAAGTTATGTGACTTCTCTGAGTCTCAATCTCCTCTGCTAGTAAACAAAGATAAAATATATTCACAGAGATTAATTCTGATAGTGGTTAGTACCTTTTTTCAAAATTTAAAAAAAAAATCTTCACTAGAGAAGGTCACCTCTCTGTCTCTTGAAAAGTTGCTGGTGGACTCAAACAGTTAATCTTTCAGTCAGTAGCTGAGCACTATAGTTATCATCATGATGCCACCACCATTCCCCTCATCCCAGGAAGATTCGGATTTGAACCTCTGATGGTTTTGAACTGCCTGCCCCTGGGTTGGCTACTGGTTGAGTTGAACTGTCTGCCTTTGTGTTGGTAGTTCAACTCCTTACCCACTGGGCCATCAGAGCTCCAATTTACAGCCTTCTAGGTGATGGTGGTTTTTGTTGTTAGGTACCATCGAGTCTCCTGCAACTCACAGCGACTCTGTGTACCATAGCTCTGAACCCTGCCATATCCTAATTTGGCACTTTTTTGAAAGAAATTTACTGAATACTAGTTTAAATTCTGAAGGCACAAAGTCTCTAGTTCAAAAGATCAATGTTGAAACCAGGGTAACGTTTTATTTTTTCATTTTAGTGTCTTAAAAATCCTTTTAGACTATTATAGCGAGGACATTCTTGATTTCTTTTTTTTTTTTCTGGTAATACTGATGGTGGTGGTTTTCTTTTTAAACATTAAAAAGAATGCTTGTCTCACTGTTAATGTGAATTACCAAGAAATTTCCAATATTCATTATAATCACATTTATTTTTGCTTTTGCATTTTTTAAATTTACAGAAAGGCCTTTTAATAATTTGCTACAACGTTCAATCTTTCTTGATGAGATTCTTTTACTGTGCTTTCTCAAACTGAAGTACATTCTGGCCTTAGCTAGAATACATTTTCTCTTCTGCGTCCAAAATATTGCATAGTATTAATTCTTCCACTGAGCGCTCATATAGACTTGAAAACAGTTTCCATGTAGAGTTCTGATGACTATGATGGAAGTGCATGCCTAGAAGCTGTGCACTGAAATGTAAAAGTGAAATCCTTTGTCCAAGACCAGAGGAAAGCTAGAAATGACATCATGCTAAAGTATACAATGGGTAAATCATGGGGACAGCATGCAGATAGACAGAGGCAGAGGGTGGGACAATGAGAAATTTAGGTAGATATGCAGAAATACCTTGCCACACCTTGCTGAGAACCACTCATTAAAGTACCTTCAGAGTCCTGATAATTCTCAGACTTAGAGTAGATGAACACAGCTTTTAAAAAATGTTGTTGTTGTTGTGTACTGTTGAGTTGGAACCAACTCATAGCTGACCCTTTGGCAAGTTTTCATGTGGGAAGAGACTGCCCTTTTTCCGTCGAGCAGCTAGTGAATTCAAACTCTGTGCTTTTGGATTTGTAACACAGATTCTTGGCACTAGGCTGCCATTATGTTCAAAGCATCTCTTTCCTCTAAAGTAGAGCGTGGGACATTGTTCTGTGATTATATCAGCAGCTGGGAGTTGCTGGTTTGCACTTAGTTTATTCTTGAATTTCAAATGAACCCATCAGTTTGAATGAGTTTCTACTGGAATCCCAGGCACATTATTAAAAACCCACCAGCCAGTGACTCTCTCTTAGTTTTAGAATTGTTCGCCAGGATCCCTCACCCTCACAGTCCTCGAATTAGTTCCAACGTACAGGTGACCCTGCAGTGGGTCTCCAAGGCTGTAAATCACACAGAAGATTGTCCACTGTTCTGCTGGTAGAGTCAAACCACCAAAGAAGTGCAGCCTGTGGCTTCATAGTGCATCTCTCTACAGTCCACCCCCAGAGAGGTTCCATTCTGGGCAAGAGAGCAGAGTGCTCTGGACTCTTCCTGACAGTGGTTTCAGTTCATTCCTCTTTTCTGCCAAAATGGACATGCTGTTATTAGTCTCATTGCACAAATTGTAGGTAAGAAGAGAGAGGACTTCAGGACTCAAGAAATCAGTGTCTGTGCTGATAATGAAAAAAAATCTGCAAACTTTTACAGCAGCTCAAGTTCTCTTAGATATTATTTTCTGTGTGGGGTGGGAGGAGGGAAGCTTTGCAATTTAAAAAGTGTTTTAAACCAGAGTATGCATTTTAATGATGATTTTCTTGGTCATTAGGACAACCATGACCTGCGTATTCCTTGGTAGAATTCTTTGAAGATGTTCTATCTCATTAAGGCTGTTTGTCATCTAATGGCCTGGAAATTCTCATGATACAAGATTCACAGTACATTTCACAGATGATCTTTCTGACCCAGAAGCAACATGCAGAAAATATTTCCTAGGCCTTGGATTTGAATGAATGTTCAAATGAGAGAATACTATCCTCACATGTCACTGGTCACCAGGCCCTGCCTCTGTAAATTACTTTTCTTTTCATTCTTTTTTGCTGAAGCTCACACAATCAATAGTGTGCTGGAAATCCTACAAAATTTTTCTAAGGGGAAAAAAAATAAAGTCTCCTTTTTTGGAGATAGACTTTGGAGAATATAACATAAAATGGCATAAATTTTTGTTCTCAGCTGGAATGTAAAATTCCTTTGGAAAGGAAATAAGCAGGGAAAGAGACATGGATCAAACAAGTGTGGGGGGAACTTCATAACCACATACTCCAAAACTATGATAGGTATACAGGGTCCATTGTAATCATTCCTCCAATTTTGAGAATGTTTTAATTTTTCACCAAGCCAACAGATAAAATGCTACCCACAGTCATAACATGGTATGGTATGGTATGGTATGGTATGGTATGGTATGGTATGGTATGGTATGGTATGGTATATGCGCATACTCTTTAGACTTCTTAAAAAATGTAGACATTTGGGCTTACGAGCCTACACGTTAGCAGTTAATGCTCTGTGGCCTGTGTTCCCTCCTGTAAGATGACTGTGGCCTTGAATCTTTTGCAGAGCGGTCTGACCCCACTTCATTTGGCTGCTCAAGAAGACAGAGTGAATGTGGCTGAAGTGCTTGTCAACCAAGGGGCACACGTGGATGCACAGACAAAGGTACCCTCCCCTCTACTCAGAAGATAGTATCACGTGATAGAAGGGTCATGTGATAGAAGCAAGTACACTTCCATGGTGGTGAGAGTCCTTGCAGCAAATATTTTTTATTTAATATTTCAAACATGTATTTGCTCAGAGGGCAGCCAAAGCCTCTCACTGTAGTGTCCCAGATGAAGTTGCCTTTTTTTTTTTAACTAAGGGTCCTTAATATAACTAGGTATCAGTATCGTTCTGTAATAACACTATTGATTCCTATTAAAATAGATTCTTGTTTCAAGGGCAGAAAAGGAAAGTTTGTAATTTTATAACTTTTTTGAGTGACTAAACAAACTACATATCTAATATTTTCCATTAATCTGTGACCAAACATAGTATATCTCTAATATCTTTTCATTAATCTTTGACCTCCACTTTAATTAGGCAAAATTTATTTAAAAGTGTAAGTGTCTTTCAAATATTACTTGCTTGCTGACTTCCATGTGCTGGTCTGTTTTCATGCCATCTCCTACTCTTCCCTTTTCATAGTCAAAATAATTCTCTTTCTAATTTTAAAATTTAACTCTTTTTGGAAAAAAAGCAAACCAAAATTTTAAATTACTGTTTAAACTCATACAATGCTAGAATTTCAAACAGGTAATACATGTGGCATCATCATAATGAGCTTCATTTCTTTGAATATCTTTTTAGTGTTAAAATCTGTTCCCTTTTCATATTAAATTTGGTTAGGTATTTTAAAACTAGATTCTTTTTTTCCTTTCTTTGTGTTACATTGACACAAAGAATATTTGTTATATATTATATTGTGAATAAAACATTAAATGTATAATATAGATAAGTTCTGAAATGTATGAATTTATATTAAAGAGACTAAAAATATAGATGGGAGCTCTGGTGGCCTGGTGACAAGAAGCTGCACTACAATCCCAAAGGCACTCAGTTGGAGGCCCCCACCAGCTATTCTGCAGAAGAAAATGGGCAGTTTCCTCTAGCCAATTGACTCTCCCTGAAAACCTGCCAGCTATGAGTTGGTTCTAACTCTGTGGTACCCAATAGCCACAATAACAATAATCCAGAAATATCATCAAAAATTAGGCAATTAAATAAATAAAGTATTGCTGACATTAAGATCAAACTGAACTTAGTTCATTTCCTTTATTTTACTTTTGGAAGTAAAAAATTTACTTAAATTTTAGAAGGAAAAAAAAAATCTTGTGCATGAAGACCAGAAAATCCTGGCAACAGGTTTTCTGTTTTCCCGTGAGCTTGCTCTTCCTGTTTGCTCTCTCTTCCCTTTGCATTAAATGTTTACTAAATCAGGTCATACAAAACTGTGCTCCTGATGAGTAGACAACACACTGAGACACTAATTCTTAGGAATACTGACTAGAGAATTAGTAATTGAATTATAACTAATATTTTTAATATAAAATGTTTTCAGAAGTCATTTGGTTTTCATTCGTATCACATTCCATGCTGTTTGGTTAAGATGGAGCAACTGTTTTTGATTTACAAAGGAAAATGTCCTAAAACATTTCATTTAGATAAACCCTAAAACACATTGGGGCATTGATTTTCAAGGCTATTGATTAGAGCTAAATAGCTAAATTATATTTACTTAAATATATACACATCTAATGAGTTGTGGTGCTGGAAAAGAGTCTTGAACATGCCATGGACTGCCAAGAAACAAATAGGTCTGTCTTAGAGAGGGTAAAACCAAGCGTCACCTTGGAAGCTAGGATTTTGAAGCTCCATCTCACATACTTGGCTAGGAGGGATCAGTCCTTGGAGAAGGACATCATTCTCGGAAGGGTGGAGGGACAGTACAGGAGAGGGAGATCCCAGATGAGATGGATTGATACACTATCTGGAGCAATGGGGGTTGATGTGTCGAAATTAGTGAGACTGGCTCAGGATAGGGAAGGGGTCAGAGCTGCTATACATAAGGTCGCTATACATCACAGGTGACTCAATGGCACATAAACAACAATAACATACTATGACAGGCTTGGAAGTAGGCGTGGCATCTACTTCCTACACAACATGCCTCCACAAACTATGAACTTTGATAAATGTCAATAGTTGTAGAGGGCCTTCAGACCTTTTGTTCATAGGATCACTATGAGCTGTGCTCGACTTGAAAGCAAGCAAAAACAATGTTTATTTAAATATTTCTATTAAATGTGTATTATTGGTGTAATAGATATTATTGTTCTTGTATACTATGGAGTCAGAATTGACCCATAGCTGACCATCCAGCAGGTTCTCAGAGACAGTTAATCACAGGGGAGGAGATTGCCCATCTTTAACCCATGAAGCAACTGGTGGATTCAAACTTCTTGCCTTTGGGCTAGCAGAACAACTCCCTACCCACCAGGTCACCAGCACTTGCACATTGGAGTATACATTTTTTTAAAGTGCAATAAACATCCGGTAGACGTTGAAATTGTGGTGGAACTGAGTAATGAGTAGTCACAATAAAAAATACTGAAAGTGACAATTTTAAAACTATCACACCAGTACATAGAAATTGTAACCATGTATTTTCAACTGCCATAAATGGCGGGAGTCGTGCGGCTGATCCGAAAGTGGTGCCTCATTGGTGGTCTGAATCCACCAGCAGCCCCATGGGGAGAAAGATGGAGAAAGAAAGTCTCCTCTCGTGTGGTTTACGGGCTCACAAAACTTAGTGGAGAGTAAGTTATGACATGGTTCTGGCTCAGTGGCAATGGGTTTTAAACAAAAATCAGGTAAAAGTTTAAATTGGGTGTGGGTTTTAATAGTGGAATGTGTGCAGAAGGCATGCAGGTCGAGGACTGGACTGACTCCAGAGAGTCACGGATTTTAGGAAGTTAGAGAAAAGGTGGGCCTTTCCTACTCCCTCTCTCAGAAGCCAAATTGCACAGGGAGGCACCTATGTTCTGCTTAATCTGATACTTTGATGAGGTACCATAGACTACAGAGATCATTGACACCTACTGCCCGAGCCATTAAGCTTCTCTCCTCTCATTTTCTTTTCAGTGGGAACTACAGGCTGATCAGTGGATCAATGTTAACATCTATCACTAATCAACAAATGAAAAAAGGGAAAGTTAATAATGGCTTTAGGATGTATTTTGCAGTCTTAAGTCTTATTTTTGAAGAACTAATATTTTCAAAGACAATTTATTTTGAAAAATAATTATCTTACAGCAAAACTGTATATGCATGTCTGTTTCTTTTTAATGAGAACATATGGCTTCTCGTGGATCCACAAATACCTGCTTGAGAAACAAACCATTGCTTCAGCTGTTGTTGTGTTGTGCTGTCAAGTCAGAACCGAGCCATAGCTGACACTTTGGTAGGTTTTCAGAGGCAGTTAATGGCATGAGAGGAGACTGCCCATCTTTCTCCTGCGGAGCAGCTGGTGCACTCAAACTGCATGCCTTCCGGATTGCACGACAGCTTGATTCAACTATATCAGTGGTTTTCAAATGGTAGCATTTGAGACAAGTCCAAGCCCCAAATCCACTACAATTCCAGATCTCAGAGACCCTGTAGGGCTCAGTGGAACAGCCTCAATGGGATTTATGAGGCTGGACATCTTTATGGAAGTAGACTGCCTTCTTTATCTTCTGAGTAGCGCTTGGAGTTTTTGAACCACTGACCTTTGGGTTAACAGCTAAGCACTTCCTTAGATAAAACCACATTGTCCCACCAGAATCCTCTGCTAGACAGATAGGAAGACATTACCTTGACACTTTACATCTACATGAAGCCCATGCTTCTCCAACAACCCTAACTCACACGAGTCTCTTGCTCTTTGGCATTTCTATGCCTCTTTGTATTTCTGCATACTTTTTAATTATCATCTACTGCCTTGCATTATCATCTAACCACTTGGAAGTTTTCACCTAGAATTTAGGATTTTCAACTCTTGAACTCATTGCTGTCCAGTCAGAACCGACTCATGCCTGACTTTCCAGTGTGGTTTCAGAAGCTGTAAACCTCTGAAGAGTAAAGATTTCCTGTCTTTATTCTGCAAAGCAGTTGGTGGATTTGATCTGCCTGCCTTTGGGTTGACAGCATAATTCTTCAAGTCAGTCCAGAGAACATGCCTCTAGCCCTTGCAATAAGTCATTTACTCAAGCTGTCCAGGATATCACTTGTGCCATCTTTGCTAACTGTAAGAGAACACTTCAGGCAGTTAAACAACTCTTTACCTGCGAAATCGTACTGTCGTTTATAGCTAAGACTATGAAAAACTGTTTTTTTTC